CAGAAACACAGTGAAATATTTAGCTGGGGAAATGGTGTGGACAGATATAGTGGGACACACTAAACAAACAGAAACACAGTGAGATATTTAGCTGGGGAAAGGATGGGAACAGGTACCATGGACAGCAAGTGATGACTAAAACCAGAGATGGAGGGACACACTAGAGAAACAGAAACACAGAGAGATATTTAGCTGGGGTAAGGATGGGAACAGGTACCATGGACAGCAAGTGATGACTAAAACCAGAGATGGAGGGACACACTAGAGAAACAGAAACACAGAGATATTTAGCTGGGGTAAGGATGGGAACAGGTACCATGGACAGCTCCATCACTGTCACCGAACATGACGGTGAAGCTGCTAACAGCGATACTCACCTCCGGCTCCCCTGCTCTGCCGCTCTCTCCTGCCGGGTAAACAACCTCCTTCCCTCCGCCAGATTCCGAGGCCGCCCCCTCACAGCCGGAGTTGTCCCCGGGGCCGGGATACCGATGGATACCGCCCCGGTGGCCGTGTCCGCCCCGGCTCTTGTCTCCGGTGCCGCAGGTCGAGGCGATACCGACGATGGCCAGCAGCAAGGCCACGCAGCCGGCGGCCAGCACCGCGATGACGGTGAAGGAGGTGTCCCAGCTCCGCTGTGCCGGTCCCGGGGAGCCGGAGGGAGCTGGAGCGGGCCGAGGCCCGGGCCCCGCCGTGAAGCTCACGGTGACGGTGGAGGACAGCGGGGGCAGGCCGCCGTCACTAACGGCCACGACCAGGCTGAAGGCCCCGGGCCCGGGCCCGGCGGGGGACACGGAGAGCGGGCGGCCCAGGTACACGTCCCCGGTGTCGGGGCGGATGGTGAAGAGCCCGGGCGGCTCCCCGCTCACGATCCGGTAACTGAGGCGGCCGTTCGGCCCCTCGTCCGCGTCCTGGGCCCGCACGCGCGCCGCCAGGTAACCGCGGGGCGCGCCCCCGGGCAGCGCCATCTTGGCGGGAGCGGGAGCGGCGGAGCGGTTCCCGGGAGATGGAGGAGGCGGCGGCGGGTGAGTGATGAACGGAGCGTTGTCGTTCCGGTCGGTAATGATCAGGCGGACGGTGGTGGAGCCGCTGAGCGGCGGGGAACCGCCGTCTGTCGCCTGCAGCAGCAGCTCGAGCTCGGGCAGCTCCTCACGGTCCAAGGAGCGGAGCGCGTACAAGGAGCCGGTGTGAGGCTCCACAGCGACGGCCGGAGGCTGCAGGCCAGGCCCCGGCCCAGGCCCAGGCCCAGGCCCCTCGTGCGGCTGCAGCAGGCGGTAAGTGAGGCGGCCGTTAGGGCCCAGGTCAGGGTCACGGGCCCGGACGGTACCGAGCTGGGCCCCGGGCAGGTTATTCTCCGCCAGCGACAGGCGGTAGACGGAGCGGGGGAAGGCGGGCGCGTTGTCGTTCACATCGGTGACGGTGACGGTGAAAGGCCTGACCGTCCGGCGGGGATCCGGGCCTTGGTCCTCGGCCACCAGCGTCACGTTATACTCGGTGTCCCGCTCCCGGTCGAGCCGTTCCGCCGTCACGATCATGTAGTGGTTAATGCCATAAGCCGGCCGTAAGTGTAACTCCCGGGGCCCGAGCAGTGATACCGAGAGGCGGCCGTTAGCTCCTGAATCCCGGTCCCACACACTCACCAGCGCCACGAAACTACCCGGTTCCGCCGCCTCGGTGATGGACGCGAGGCCCGAGGCCTCTCCGGGACCGGGACCGGGACCTAGCGCGCTCACGCGGATCTCGGGCGCGTTGTCGTTGACGTCGAGCACGCGCACCGCCACCCGGCAGCTCGAGGCGCGCGGCCTGGCGCCGCGGTCGCGCGCCTCCACCTCCAGCTCGAAGCGGGCGCGCGCCTCGTGGTCGAGCGGCGCGTTCAGGCTCAAGCGGCCGGAGCGCGGCTCCAGGCGGAAGAGGCGCCGAGCGTCCGCCTCGACCCTCGGGCTGAAGGTGAACCGGAGCTCGCCGTTTAGGCCTTGGTCCGGGTCCCGGGCCTCGAGTTGCAGCAGCAGCGAACCCGGGGCCGTGTCCTCCCGCAGCTCGAGCTCCAAGGAGCCGCTCCCAAAGGCCGGAGCGTTATCGTTCTCATCGAGGACCCGCACCCGGAGCCGGGCCTCCCCGCTCCGAGGTGGATTACCCCCGTCCCGGGCTCTCAGCTTCAGGCTGAGCTCGGCCTCACTCTCCCGGTCAAGAGGCTTCACCAACAGCAGCGTCGGTGCCGGTACCGGCTGCTGGACCCCGCCGCTGCCTGCACCGTCCGACAGCTCCAGCTCCAAGTGACCGTTCACCGAGAGCTCGTAGCCCCGCACCGAGTAGGAGCCGGTGTCGGCGTCTAGAGCCGCGGGGAGAGGGAGCCGGGTCCCCGGTGCTGAGCTCTCGGAGATTTCTAGCTCGATCTCGGGCTGGGGGAACTCGGGGTAATGGTCATTAATGTCCTGCACTTGGATCTCCACATGGATCAGGAGGAACTTGTCCCGGGAGAAGCTCACCACATCCAGGAGCAGCAGGCACGGCTCCTGCTCCTCGCAAAGCTGCTCCCGGTCAATGCGGCTTCCTACCGTCAGCTGCCCGTCCCTTTCCCCGACCCTCACCGGGACCGAGCCGTTATACTCGGGCATCAGTCGGAAACCGCTCTGGCCCCCGGCCCCGCCGGCCGCCTCCAGCTGCAGATCGGTGGCCAGGTTTCCGATCACGGTGCCGGGCTCTTGCTCCTCGTACGTGGAATATCTGACCGTTTTACAGTCACTCATCGTCGGAGCGAGGAGGAGGACAAGAAGCAGGAAGCAGGGCTCCCTGGAGGGACTGCAGACCGGGACACCAGCAACCCTGCTTCTACCTCTCTCAGGGCTCATTCTCTGATCTCGTTACTCTGTTCACTTTTTCCCCCCCCCCCCAGATGAAAGTGACAGTTCGGAGAATTTGATCCCTCCCTTTAGTATCGTGCGTGCACTTGAAACACTCAAGTTGCACGCCTAAAAGTAGCAAGCCAACTTCAGACTTTGAGAATCACTTTCCAAGTGTGCAGCCTGTAAGGGCCCAGGGCTTTTTTTTTATCGACATGCCCTGTGTAAATATTAACAATGCACAGCCAATCGTATTTCAGGAGATAGGGACAGTCTTCCTCACTGAGGAGGTTGAAGATATCCAATACATCGATTCTGGTTGATGCTTAAAAAATATAAATAAAGTATGTTCCATGTAATGTTCCATACTTTGAAAAATGTCATCACTGTTTCGAAGGGAAGAGTACAACTGGGAAAAGGAGACAATACTAAATGATTTGTTAATCCTGGATGTGGGTGTATTTTTAATATATATGGATTCACTCGTCACGTTAAGGTTTTAAAATGTGTACTGTACACTCATTTAGATAGTTAGCTTATGGTCTGTTTGCACTGTGAATTTGAAGTGCTCAAATTCCTGTACGAGCTCATCAAGACCACTTTATATTTAACATCTTCTCAATCTCTGGAAACTTGCATCATTTTTGTCCTACTCCAGTTTTAGCCCTGATTTCCATTAATACCCAATAATAAGTTTGGAACAAACCAAAGCTGTGGTTATCTGGCATGTTAGGAAAAAAATGCAGGAATTTCCAAAAAAGTGTGATACTCTCAAGCTGGCTGTCAGTCCTTATAGGATGATATATTGGGATGCTGCAGTCTAGGACATACCTACGACACCCTGGGCAAACAGACAGCCCAAAAGAACACAGAAGAATGGAAATTAAGTTACCATAGACCTTCTGGGAGACAGAGAAGCAATTCTGTAGATTCAGACACAAGCTTGCATGGTGTACTCTATTCCTCATCCGAATGACATGAGAAAGAAAACGGCTGAAATCTTACAGGTCTTAAAGAGCAGGGTTCATTCTGGATATAACGAGACATAGTATATATCAGATAATACCTTTGTAAGCAGTTAAAGCACAAATAATGTTGTGAATGATGGAGAAATTCAGCGGGTCTGGCAACATCTGCAGAGAGAGAAATAAGAGTTAACATTTCAAGTTTGGCATATCTTAGCGTATATTTCAGATTTCCAGCATCTGTAGTATTTTGCCTTTATTAAAAGACTCTTGACTTTATAAATAGAAGTATTATGTACAAAATCAAAGACAGATTTAAACTTTTACAAATAATTATCTCTCAACTAGAGTCATTGTGCCCAGTTTTGTTTCCTATGTTTTAGAAAGGATGTGAATGCCTTGGATTGAGTAGAAATGAGATTTATGACAAAACAACAGTGATGAAGGACTTTGAGTTATGTGGAGACACTAGGGAAGCTGTGATTTTCTGCCTTTCGCTCGTAGTTGGGAAGCCTTAATAGTTCAGAGTTATGAAGTTAAACAGGAAATCTGTTTTCTGTTGGCAAGGAGATTAAAAGTACCTGATGGAATGTAGTTAATTGACAAAATGAATCAGAAGTAAAAATGAGAGTTTTATTTACATAGCTAGTTCTGAATATGTAGAATCACTATCTGAAAGGGGGATGGATACCTTTCAATAATAGCTTCCGAAAGGGAACTGGACCATATACTTGAAAAGGAAAATTGCGTGAAGCTTTGAGGAAGTGGCAGTAGAATAGCGTAATTGGACAAAGAGTCAGCACAGACATGAAGGGCCAAATGACTCGCTATGCTGTATGATTCTATACTGTAGTAACACATGTTCAAAGCTGTAGCCCAGACACACTAACTCATCTATCTCAAATTTCCCATATTAAAGCTGTTTTGTGTACACAAAATTAATTGCTCACTATTGTGTGTGGCTTTTTAAAGTACATAAATGGTTTTGTATATTAAACTGTGGAAACCTACATGAATGTATCAGATGTAAAAGATGTATTAGAAGCCTAATTGAATTTTCTAAGGTCACTGACATGTTAGATAAGGGAGTGTCTGAATGTTATTTTATATGAATGTCCAGTAAGTAGTGTAAATGGTGGCAGCTATTTGCAAAGGGGCATGTAGAGGAAGTAAGTGGGCAGAATTGTTGTAGATGGGATTTGATGTAGGGAACTGTGTGGCAATCCACTTTAGGACCTAGAAAGGATAGATCGATGTTTTCTAAATGATGAACAGCCGAGATCTATGGAAGAGTAAGTAGATTTGTAGCCCAACTAAAATTAGTGGACAGGCACAAAAATAATTTAAAATCCAGTGGAATGTTTATTTTTGTCTTAAGGTAGGTGAAATGCAAAAGGGAGGAAGTTATGTCACAGCTCATTTAAAGTTCTGCTTCTATCCTTGGAGCCCTTCAATTTTTGGCAACAAGGTCTTGGAAAAGATATTGGCCATGGAGAATATGTATTGTAGATTCACCAGAATTATACCGTAGTTAAAAGTGTTACATTATGAGGACAGTTGACGTAGACTGTGCTGGTATTCCCTTGAATATAGAGGAAGCAGTCAGGGAGGCAGTGGCCTAGTGGTATTATTAATGGACTGCTAATCCAGAGACCCAGATAACATTTTGGGGACCCGGGTTCGAGGCCCGCCACAGCAGATGGTGGAATTTCAATTCGATAAAATGTCTGGAATTAAGAATCTAACGATGACCATGAACCCATTGTCAATTGTCGGAAAAACCCACCTGGTTCGCTAATTCCTTTAGGGAAAGAAACTGCCACCCTAACCTACATGTGACTCCAGACCCACAGCAATGTGGTTGACTCTGAACGGTCCTCTCGGCAATTAGGGATGGACAATAAATGCTGCCTAGCCAGCGACGTCCTCATCCTGTTAATGAATTTTTAAAAAATTAGGTTTTGATCTAATGGATGTGTTCAAGATTAAAGTGTTTGGTAAGATGGATAGAAGCCATTTGCTCTTCTAGAGGAAGTCTAACACAAGAGGGCATAGCTAGAGCAAAGTCATTCATGGTGATGTTGGAAACATTTCACTCCAAGCATAGAGAGTCATAGAATCATACAAGCACGGAAACAGCTTTTACCTCCAAAAGTTGAAAATGGGTGAATGAAGTTTTGATACTCAAATTACTAGACTTTGGTTGGTCAGTGGCTTTAGGGTTCACAATCAAAGTGGGTAGATGAAGATAAGATACAGATTAGCTCTAATTTAACGGAGTGATAGAACAGGCTTATTAGGGCCTTATGGGTTAAAGCTGTGAATTATATTCATTAATGTACGTAGCCTTGGTTTCACGTTTTAAAGCTGTAAACAATATGCACTAATGATCCTAACTGTTATCACAAAATACAGCTATAATCCACTAGCACTAATGTATATAACTATTTTTAAGTTAGTTATAAGACATATGCACCAATGTGGACAACTGTAATTTCACACATTAACCGTACGTTTCATTTACATCTTTTTATTGCATGAATAAAACAAACTTTATTCATTAAAAACATATAAGTATATACAAAGAGTTCTCAATCCATTTTCTGCAGTCTTTGCGGAGAGAAGAGAAATTCAAACAACATATTGGAATTGGAGTTGGAATTAGATTTTATTGTCATGTGTACTCAAGTGTAGGAATACACAAGTACAGTGAAAGTATACAAAGTCAGCATTCTCTGATGTCATCTTGGTTGCAAAACCAGAATTTTAAATAATAGGCAGAAATAAAAGAGAGTCAAAAGGTGAGAAAAACATCCAGACCTATATCCCACAGAGCTACCATGCAGTTCCAAAGAACAAAGGTAGGAAAAAAGTTGACATATATTTTGGGAACGGAAAGGACCACCTCCTCCCCTACCCCAGCTGCTCACCAACACACTATTTTTGTCATGGTGCTTGTCCGATAAGAGCAGAAGGGAATATAAGTTGGAGGACATTGAACTCTTGGAGTCTGCTCTGCTATTCACTCAGATCATGGACAATCCTATATCTTGATTTACTTTGATGAGGTGCTGGTGTTGGACTGAGTGGACAGGCTGAATAATAGGTCTCTGCAGGTGATCAAGAGTGTCAGACAGTGTAAGTAAAGTGTCAACAGCTGAATAACAAGTGAAGGGATGACCAATAATCCGATTAAATGAGGCAGAGAGATAATTAGAAAAAATTAAAAATAAGGTGGTGCTGGAGACAAACCAAATGACTGGAATAACATGATAGGTATGAGTCACATGCGCGAGGGTCTAATCAAAGTTAAACCAGTGGCATGCAACTCTTAAACTTATTACGTTATTTGGTTTGACCCAGAACCACCACATTTTTTTTGTAATTATCACCTGCAGAAACCTATTATTTGGCCTAAAGACACTCCACTCACGCCATTTGCATGATCTTTTGATCTCACTGCCCATTGATCTCTCTGCCTATAAATTCTGTGCCTGTGTGCTCTCTTTCACTTCACCTGATGAAGGGGCAATGCTCTGAAAGCTTGTGGATTTCAAATAAACCTGTTGGACTATCATTTAGTGTTGCCTGATTTCTGACCTTAATTTACTTTCTCACCTTATATCCTAATATATTGATTCTCTGAACATCTAGGATTGGATGAGCAGAAATTTTCTTCGTATTGGGAAGATCAAAGCCATTGTTTTTAGTTCCCTCTACAATCTCTCTGAAAACCACCAACTTTATTGCTGTCTGAAACTGAGCCAAGTCATTTAAAACCTTAGCATTCTATTTGATCCTGAAGTGAGATTCTAACAAATACTTTCGCCACTAGCAAGTCTCCCTACTTCTACCTCTGTAACATCACCTGTCCTCTTCCCTTCCATAACCCGCCTACTGTTGAAACCCACATGATGTTTTTGTTAACACCAGCATGTCTCCCACCTTACATTCCACATAAGTAAGGGTTCATCTACAATGTTTGTGTTCTAACTCCTTTTAAGTCACTTTCACTCACCACACCTGAACTGTAGG